TGCAAATCAGTCGTCCTCAAGTTGGTAACTTACACTGGAGGCATATGCCAATGTTATACAAGAAATCATTTTGAAATCATTGTTCAAACAGATTCTTTGTTTTCGTCATGTTCTCGCAAAAATAAATTAAAAATGTTCTAGACCCAGCCAGCCAATCAGGGGCCTGGATTCACCATGTTCTAGGTACAATGTTTTATGTAGGAAAATTATTAAAACATAGTCTCTGATCAACCTATGTTCTCACAGTGTTTTGCCTAGGAACATCGGTTTTTGGCCCCAGTGTTAATTGTTACTCTAACAGTCTAGTTGGCAGCCTATAGGATTGAGTACTGCCACCTGCTTAGTCATCAAGCCTTGCGGCTCCGATAATTGCTACAAAGCTTCTTTTGACATATGGTGAGATGGCCGAGCGGTCTAAGGCGCCAGACTAAGGACTAGGTCATTAGATGACCAAGACATCTGGTCCGAAAGGGCGTGGGTTCGAATCCCACTCTCATCACATTTTTTCCTCTTGATGAGCATGAATACTTGAGAGCCAATAGGCAATACATATTACATGGTCTGGGCCCATCAAGAAAAGTTAACTGCAGTGGCCCAAAGGATAATGTGCTGAACAGACATGGGTAGAAGAGTATAGAAGTGAAAGCAAAGGATGCCATGCCGGCGCAAAAATTGTTGCAGAAGTGGAATGTAGCACTTCGTTAGAGATGAAGGCAGACGACTGAAGGAATGAAGGAATGGGCCATGATCGAATGACATCTATTCGAAGTCAGAGTGAAGTAAGCTGCCGCCATTTCGCTGGGTGAAAACCACTGTGGCAATCGCAGCGATGCGAAGCCTCGCAGCCCGGCAGGAGCATGTCTGATGGTGTGGTGACAGAAATCAAACCATGCCATGCAGTGGAGACACAAAGCATGCATAAAAAAGCGATGCAGATAATCGGGAGGAGTTCGTTTGCACAAAGGAGAGACGCGGGAAACGAAAACAGGAGAGCACCAATTGTCTCTAGTCGCGCCTCTGGTACGGCTTGACCAACAATGGGAGTTGGGCCTTGTCTGTAGAATGTCCACGAAGAATATGATGTTGGAGGAGAGTAAACTTTTTATCGATCTGACTGGCGGGCACCGCAGGTTCATACTCGAAAGCGCGACCCAGTGCGAACAGAATAAATAGCCTTTATCCTGTTCGCAGCGGGTTATTTTGCGTCAGCTACACGCCTAAAGCTGAAGGCAGAGATGTAGAACCTGCGCGTACTCGACGATGGAAAACCGACAGGCAATACATGCTTTGGGTCCGCCAAGGAAACTTAGCAAGTGGCCCCAGACACCTGGGATATCGGAGACAGCTTTGTGTAAGTTATCGCAGCGTTCCGCTCTTCAATCGCAAAGGCATATCAGTCACCACCAGCACAAAACAAAGTCACGCATTTGAACTCATGAGCGTCAGATCCCTACAACTCCTTCGACCGGTTGATCGCCAAGATTGGGATAAAGATAACAATGCCCTTGTTGATCGACCCTGTTCACGATGATAGATATGAGATTCGTGACGAGTAGATGAGAGGTGACCGACTTGATTCCGTCGTGTGCGACGCCATGCTTGTCCGTGAAATCCCAACCCTAAATACTACTCTTCTCAATTGCACCCTTCTCGGTTGCACCAGCGAGAACGGCCGCTTTGGCCTTGGTGAGGAGCCCTTGAGCCATGTGCTTTATCGTACGTTGGGCAACTTGGATCTTGCGTGCGCGATCGCTGGGCTATCAGAGACGAGGGATGTGAGCTTAATACACAATAAACGAGTATGTGATTCACACTTTCTCGGATGAGACGAAGAGGCGGAATCCATACCTGGCGTGTATATAATATGTGCAATTTCCGGATTGCGTTCAACACAACCGCGGTTATTTGGTGATCAGTCTGATGACTCGCATCCAGGTGTAGACATATTGAGACAATATGCATACACCTGGATGCTTCAAGCTTCAGCGCTCAGTGCCCTGGCGACAGGGATACGTTCCATCTTCTGATGGGCCAGTGTGCCTACAGAATCGATGCGTATATCTCTATAGAACGAAAGAGTAAACGGCGAAGGTGTTGAAAGTTGTTTTGTCCACGTCCTTTAAAGATTGTGGCTCGTGATATCCGGCTGTTCACAACACCCAACTGGCAGTAAATAAGTATGACCACCAATCCATCGCACATCCTCATTGCGCGCAATTCGCGAGGGCCCAACAACCCTTCGGCTTCCCTCAGTTCACCGATCGAAACCCATGCAGCTGCAGCAGGCATATTCCGCTCATCCGGTTCACCGCCATGGCTTCTGGAAGAATGCGAAGCAGATGACCTCGTCACGGAACTGAATCTTTACGACACAGATCAGGCTATCGAGATAGACGAAACCTTTACTCGTGCCGGGAGATTCCCTGGTACAGTTAAAATCGTCGTCGAGAGCACGACTTTTTGGTGGGTGCTCTAGAAGTTGTTCCCATCGCCGGTGGCACAACCTGGAATCTGGCGCTAATCTATCTAACCCCATCATAGGGCGCACAAGGAAGTTTTGCTCTTTGCATCCCCATTCTTCGAGGCTGCTTTAAGTGGCAGCTGGCTGGAAACAGGTCGTCCACCGTCGATGTCTTCCGTGATCACCATCTCGCAACCACCCACCATCCCAGGTGACAAGTCCAGAGCTGACACACCCACTGCCATGTCTTTTGGCTCTGAAGATGATGCCCATGACACCGCCAGTGACACTGCGTCCGACTCCTCGTCGCCCGTTGAGATCGAGAACCCACCCACGAGCGGGAGTGAGGCGAGTGAGAGCGAACCTGAGGTACCAGAATCTAATAACATGCGGAACGAGTGCAAAGTCGCTCGGGGTGCAAGTCTGGCTAAGCTCCAGGGCTTTGGAGGAGGTGCCAAGCAAGAGTCTAAAAGCAAGTGCAAGGCGACAGACACTCATCGGCCCTCCCGGCAAGGGTCTCAGAACACGCATGCCACCGTGAGGAGGCACCGCAGGACACACGATCAGGACGCTGTCATTGTTCTGAAAGAGGAAAAGGCTAATATCCTCCACGATTTCCTCAAATTCGTGTACCCTCAGTACGTAGCTACGATGCCGATCCCATACTTGTTGACTGAACTGCCCCACAGCCTCCAATGCAACATTTCCTGGAATAATGTGGAGGGCCTCATGAACATTTCTCACAAGCTCTGTGTGCCAGCACTGCAACGAGAGTGTCTCACCTTCCTCCTCACTCACGCTGCCGGCAAGCCGATCAAGGCCATGCGTATCGCGGAGCTCTTCGAGGAAGAAGAGCTCTATCGCGAGTCGAGTCGTTTTGTACTTGATAATCCTGGCGGGTGGTCCGAGGAAGAGCTGAGCACACTGAGCCAGGAAACTCTTTTGAAGCTCGAAAAACGGTAACCACTCCGCAGTAACTTATTGCCTGCTTGACTGACCGATATATTAGCCGCAACTGGTTCCTAGAACGCGTGCTCAAACTTGGTCTGACACCCCTAGCTAAGGAGTACCAATGCGTACGTTTGCTCATCATATACCTTCACTCTACTCATAGTCTTTTCTTCCCCAGTGCCCGACTTGCCCTGACCCAGTGAACTGCGCCCGTCTGCTGGAAGAGAAATGGAGACAGGCCTACAATGCCGTCTTCCGATTTGGTGAGTGCACCCTGTGACATTGTCGCACAACCACTCACAAGCGCCCTTCAGGTCCATGTCAACCTTCAATGGTCTACCGCTATCTTCGAAATCTAGAAGGGGTCAGTCCCCCGCTCTCCCTCACTCACCTCGCTTGCCAAACAACCGCAAGGGCATTCACCGCGACACGTAAGTTACCTCGCTCTCTTCTCTGTCCACACCCCCGTCCTAATTCGTACCGAACAGTGTTTGACCGTATGTTTTCTCTCGGTATTCGTGGCGATGCAGCCGTAGCGCCCCTGGGAGCTCGTGTAGCTGCAGTTGCAGTCGCAGCAGCGTCAGGCCCACGCCGGCATTTCCTCTATTGCACGCTCAAGCCAGACAAAGCCGCTCCTCGTCCTCGCCGCTCTCGCGAACTTCTCTGAGTTTACGCTTTCCCGTTTCCCTTTCTTCATGCTATGCTCATCTTAACTATATCTCCCACACGGATCTATCCCTACTTACCACGCACCCCTGTAACCCCTCTGCATCATCGTTAACGCTAGACATAGACGTACATCGCTAGCTCGCTCCCTTCTGACTAGTATGTATTCCATTATGTATGTACTTCTACACACCCTGCCTTGATTACATGGTATCAAAGGGTATCCATGCAAAATGAATGCTAGCAAACAATAAAATGAAAAATGGGTGGGATATAATGCAGGAACGAAAGTGGCAAGATAGGATCTAGTCTCGGTAAACGATGCCAACAAACCAGGCGACTTGGGACG